TTTAAAATACTGTCATAAGCCTCTGACTAATGTTTTAAGTCCATAAAGTGACAAGGGGCAAAAGAATACGTGAGGTTAGGATTCATAATCAAACTGTCAAAAGGGAAAGATGTAAACACAGTAAGTAGCTAAGCAACTTATTCCATGTCCATAGCTCCAGAAAGCAAAGGTATGCCAGCACAAAAGTAAACTCAGAATATAGACAAGGGCAAATACATATGGAAAAAACACCTGACGGATAACTGGTCCTACTGCTTCTTGAAATTTTTGGTCTTGCATCCCTGACAGAGCCCTGGAGAAGGGGCGGGCCAAGGAGCAGAGTGACTCTGAAACTCACAGAAATCACATAACTCACCATGCAGACTCAGGAAGAATGGCTTTCATTTAAGTCAAATTTGGAAGATCTCATAGGAACTCAAAACTAATGTGTATCTGATTCACATTCTCTCTCTCTCAACCCCCAATATCTAATACCATAAGTAAATCTGACATCAATATCAGTCCACTGAGTTCAGGGGACTCAGTTTAAAATAACAATAACATCTTGCTTTAGATTTGGGAAGGTTGTAGGCTAAAATGAAAGGTAGGTTTCATTCAAACTTCTAATCCATGGCATAACCAAATGTCCACTAGGCTGGCCATGGCACTGATCTATCACCTGGGACTTACTAAGGAAGTGCTTCTGAGGGACATTGGTGGGGGACTAGGGGAAACAGCAGGACACGGGAGGGGAGAAACCCAAGCAAGGTCCCAGCCTCAGCCGATCCTGCAGAGAGAAAGAGCTCTGGGGAGGGAGTCACTCCTGAGTGTCCCTGCGACCGCAGGCACGTGAGCTGGGCTTCGTCTTCCTCCACCTGGCAGGCCTCGGGTTGGCATTGCCAGCCCCTTGCTGTTGGGAGCAGGCAAAATGCAGTGGCCTGAGCAGGATCCTTTGAGTTTTTCATCTGAGGGTCTTAAACATGAAAAGCTATTCTGATGTATAGTCACAAGTCCAGCATCATTTACGAATGCTGTGCATGTGATTTTGTTACACACACACACACACACACACACACACACACACACACACACAAGGTTTGTTCTTGGTCTAATCGTCAGGCACAAGTCCAGGTACATAAACTGTAGGCTGAAGAATTGCTTTTCGTTTAATTTGATAATACATGAATAATGAACATCACCAGCTATTTCAGGAAAATACTCAGTGGACTGAGGATACACTACGTATCAGTAAAGCAACTGAGGGCAAGACTGATCCGGCCCTAGGTGTCCATCAAAAAAACGCTTCTGATTCTTTTTGCTTTGGGGGAGGGGAGAGCTGGGATTCTTTTCTGTCCAAAGAGTAACAATTCTTTTATGTCATCATCTATAAAAGTTAATTTTATTTGCTTATTATAGCTGGCAAATTATTATATCACCCATAAACGTCTGATTCCACTCAAAAAAAGCCTCCGACTTGGAAAGTGCATGGTTGGCTTCATAGGGCATCGTACCCCCTACTTTCCACATAACAAGGCTGCTGGGGAAGCCCAGCTGTCCAGCCTCGCTGCTGGTGACTCCGTGCAAACAGCAAAAACAATCTGCCTGCTGACCTCCGGCATGAGTTCAGACTATGTCATTCTGTCAATACCATCTACCTTGATTAGGTTGGGCTTTATACACAACAGGTTATGATCCCAGAGGGATGAAAAGCTTTCCCAAATTAAAAGCAGAATTTTAAAAGGAAATACTCATACATTCCTAGGCAGTTTCCATTTGATATCCTCAAGGCTGGCCCATGAACCCCAGCTCATGTTGATTGAAAGTGAATGTTCCTTTCTGGGTGTAGCCATCTCACAAATTTAATGGCAGGAGGAAAAAAAGAAAATGTGTTCCATGCTTCAATTAGACCTTTTATAACTTGGCACTTGAAAGATGGCAATGCCAAAGAAAAATCATTAATCCATAAAAATAGACAAAAAGGACTGTGCCGCCGAAGACAGACCTCCCGGAGTTCGGCCCTGGCGGGGGGTTCCCTCACACCGGCCGGCCTGGCTTTTGTCTAGCCTCATTGTGTGTCTTCTCTCGGGCTTCGTGCTACTTGGACAAAAGGTAGACTGTATTTGGTTTTAAGTCCTAAATAATACAACCATGCTTTCAATTGTGTCCTTTGCCAAAGGAGCTGTATATAGAACCAGGCAATAAAATGTTGGCTAACCATGAAATGCCTATTCATGGGCATGGATGATACATGAAACAACTCGCACGCACACGCACGCACGCACACAGAGCTGCACATGCAGACTGAAAGATGCATCTTTCCACTTCGTATTTTGCAGCAGCGCCCAACAGCCTCGCTCAAAAGGACCAGAGCTTTTCATAATCACAAAGGCTGCCTGAGGTGAGGACCCAGAGTCACAAGAGAAACGTGAGGGAGTGATGTTTGGAACATGCGCAGACCTCTGTGAACGTCAAGACTCACTTTCAAATGATGTAAACAGACTCCATCAACAACAGAATGTATAAATTTGTTAAGAGTCAAGGGAGCAAGAAACGTCACCTCCCTGGGTCTCCTGCCATACTTAATCCGTCAGCACCCAGCCTCAAGCAGCCCACTGTCTCTTCCCTGCTCCCGCTCCCGGAGGCCGGCGTTGCTGAAGGCTGAGCAAGCCACAGGGGTTGCTTCTAGCACTAGTGCGTGCTGGTGAACTTCAGCCGAGAGCTCCAACTCCCTCACAAATCCTTCTATCGCAAACTGACTCCCGATCCCATTCAGACTGTCACCCTACTTCTGGCCTCCCTTTCAACACCAAATTTTGGAAACAGTAATTTGCAGCCCCTGCTTCTGTATCCTCAACAGTCCATCACTCCTTAACTCCTAAATTCTGCCTCCTGCCTTCACCACTCTAATAAAATTATACTTCAAAGTTTGCAAAGATCTCTACCAACCAATCACCCAATTTCATGGCACGGTTTCAAGCTTCTCCCTCCCAGACTTCTTTGGTTTCCATTCATAATGAAGTCTCCTGGAAACTTGACTCACGTCTTCCATCCGTCTCACTACCATTTCCCCATTCTTCCATCTCCACCTAACCCCAGCTCTCCTGGCATTTCTTCTGTCTCTTCCTTGTAGGAGCGGTGGTGATGGTTTCTTCCCCTCATTCCCCTGACTCTCTAAATCCCAGGCTCTGTAAATAAATTTCAAATCTCGTTCTCTAACCCTGACCACTCTTTTTAGCATCAACCTCCTATTTTTAACGACAACAACACATCTTCACTTAGGAAATCTGCCTGCACCTCCAAGTCAAAACAGCCCAATCCAAAACATCTCTTTCAATATCCTCCTTGATTCTCTAATTACAGCTTTATTCTCAATCACCAGGCTCACTCCTTGGCATTATCTTTAGTTCTTTCCTCTTTACCAGTCAAGTAGCTGCATTTTCTGTCAATGTTACTTCTGCAATGCTTCTCGACCACTCCATCACCATCAACCTAGTTAAAACTTCTACTCATTTCAGCTAGACACTCTGGCAGCCTTCTAAAATGACAGTCCTACCCTCTTGCTATCATGAGGGAAAAAGAAATCTTCCTAAGTCATCCAACTCTAATTATTGGATCATAGCACATTCCTACATTAAATCGTCAATGGCTTCCATGTGCCTATGACTTACCATGTGCCTCGTAAAGACTTACCATGTGCCTATGAAATAAAGTTCAAAGTTCTTAGCACGGCCCAAAGACTTTTTTTGATCGGTTCCCTCCAGATCAAAGCCTTACTATCTAGCTTTGCTATCAAGTACCAACTATTCTTATATGTTTGACTCAACAGTTTTCTCATGAATTCCTTTAGCCTGGAATATCCTCCTTCTACTTCTTTGCCTGTTAAACTTTACCTGTCCTTCAAGGTCTAACTCCCCAACATACTCAGGTCAGTTATTTATATATGTGCTGGCCCATGGTCTTTTATATTTGCACAGAGCTTAGATTCCTGCCTCACTTAAGCCCACTGCCCTCGTAAAGACTTAGCATGTTCATTCTACTGTAAGAATTCCTTACTCCCGCCTCCCCACGAACACCCGCTGCGACCACTGCTTCCTCTCTCCTATGCTATTCACCGCACTTCGTGTTTTACGTTTGTTATTTGGGCTCAATTATTTCTCACGACAAGGTCCTTAGCTCCTTGAGATTAACACTTTTTCCTTTGTTACTCAAACAAGGGTTAGATTAGTGGCTCTCAAAGGATGGTCCTCAGACCAGCAGCATCAGCATCACCTAACTAGAAACGCAAATGTCTGGGCCCCACGCCCAGACCTACTGAATCGGCAACTAGGAGGCCACACAATCTGTGTTTTAACAGCCTTCGGGCGATGCTGAAGCATCAGCACACACTGACGGAAAAGAATGTCTTACTTAAAGCACCCCTCCATAAAGAAGACACATATCAATAAACTGTTTATCTTCTGACCCTTTATAGTTACCTTAGAACATTATAAAATGAATAAATTAGCCATTGCTACCTTATCCATATCTTAAATCTAACTTGCGTGTTTTGAAGAGTTTATAAATTAATTAACGAAATTATAACATATAATGATACTTTGTTTATAAAGTTCAAAACCAAAGTAATAGATTGGGCATGCGTTAGTAGTTTTAAAATTACTTTTTAAAAAGACAGGGTAATGACAACCACAAAACTCAAGGTCAGCGTTACATCTGAGGAAAAGGTAGATGAGAAGATGAGGGAGGAGAGGAGCACACAGACCAAGTCACTGGTCATATCTGGGGTCCTGAGTTGGTGAGTTCAGTTATATTCACGGTGTTGCTGAAACTGACTCATTAGTTATAACTACGCATGGACGAATCGCGACAGTGGTTCATAAACTACGCAGTATTCATTCATCTAAATCTATGTGCTCTGAGAGCCAGGAAAGGTTTTTAAGAGATCAAAAAGAAAATGTGTCACAACGCCATCCCTAGTGTTCTTCTTAACCACCACCAGTTACCCTGCTCGGTGCTAACTGTACCTGTGTGCGGTTGAACGCCACTCTTGCAAAGACAGCTTGGGACACGCTGGCCCGCTTCAGCTCGTCTCTGACTTGCTGGTAGATATCGGGAGAGACTTCCACAGAGGAGTTGGTTGGCTCTGGCTTCACTGCTCTGGGGATGGGCGGATGGTTCAGGAACTGCTGGTTGATGGCCTGAGGGTGCTGGTGAGCCAGGAGGCGGCTCACGGCAATCTGCTGGTTTATCAGATGGGCCATGGCGATTTGCTGCCTGACAAGCTGTGGGCTCAGCTGCGGGGAGAGAAGCCCCGGGCTCATGATGGGCTGTAACGCGGGCACTTGGTTTCGGACTGGAGTGCTGTGGTGGATTTGGCTATGAGGAGACTGTTCGTTGGTTTTCCCCAAGGATGCCAGCTGATTCATATTTGGTAAATGCATTGGACGCTGGCCC